CATCAGATATGTCAGTTTACCAATGGGTGTAATTAAAAAAGGAGAATGCATTAGCAGTCCTGGTGATTGTCATACAGGAAGGAGTGGTAATAAGTTTAAAGGTATGACTATGATATCACATCAGATATGTCAATTTACCAATGGGTGTAATTAAAAAGGAGAATGTATTTGCAGTCCTGGTGATTGTGATACAGGATGGAGTGGTAATAAGTGTGAAGGTATGACTATGATATCATATCAGATATGTCAGGTTACCAATGGGTGTAATTAAAAAAGGAGAATGCATTAGCAGCCCTGGTGATTGTGATACAGGATGGATTGGTAATAAGTGTAATAGTACACTTATGGAAATTTTCCCTCTGTCATGTATAGTTCTCACATATACGCTGAGTATCTCTTGAGTACTTCTTGGGTATAGTTTCCAGTGTACTTATCGATTATTATACGTATTCAACATTAATGAGTGACACTGTGTGATGTGACATCAGTGTTGATTTATACATTAAGTTTGATCCTCAGGATTCATGCTCCAGAAACTATGTGAAGGTGTATTCTCATCACTTTATCACATGAATTCCAGTCACTGTTCATGTGCCATTTGCTGGTACATGTAGCTATAATTCTACAACACATGGCATTAATCATGAAATTGAGGTACCAACTATTTGTATATTCGCATTAGCTATTTCTAGGCTGTCAGGTATATTAGTCCCTAAATATAAATATAAACTTTGTTACCATATAGTGAATAACAATCTCGGTTTCATGTATAACTGTGTGGTTTTGTGTGTGGAATATGGACTGTTGTGCTTTCCCATCCCTATTTTCAGCTCCGCTGATGGCCGAGCGTAGCTCATGGGTTGCCTGGACCTGTTGTCGTCTGTATGTCATACATAGTACATCGTTTGTCGTCCATAGCATTTTTTCAAGTGACTTTTCCTCCCAGACCGTAAGCTGGATCACCTTGCTATTTATAGCACAGCTACCTGGGGTGGTCTTCATTACATCACATTTTTAGGAAATATTTTTATTTAATTTTTGGTCAAAATGACAATGTCAG